AAGTCAAAGTTATAACCTGCTGATGTAAGAAACGTCTACAAATTTAGAACGAAATTTTTAACACCTTCAGAAAAAGAGAATTTTTTTTGTTATACCAAGAGATATATATGCGCCTGGTAGTAAGCGACACGCCTGTCCGTAGCAGTGGCAGTGCCCCTGATCTCGTCACTCTGACACATTAGTTGACATGCTCACGTTACTGTTTGGTGGCAGAAGTAAGTAATGTGGCAATACTTCCCTGACTGAACTTTTCCACAGGGAACTCTATGGCTACTAAATATAATAGATTCAATTTCAAAATTCCAAAACCTTACAACATCTTGTGAGTATTGTAAAATAAATCATCCCTTTGGTTCGGCCCTTTCGGCTCCCATCCTCATTTACCTCTTAAGTTAGTGTAAATATAGATAATCGTTTTCCTTTTTAATATTTAGTGTGCCTCATAAGAAGCCGGTTCCTTGTTTTAATAAACAGTGTGCCCATTACTCGGGCTTTGTCAAAATTGCATTACCGTTTCATTCGAGGCATAGCCTTCGACCAGTGGTTGGTTTTAAATAACAATAATAATTATTAAATTATACAGTGTTGTATATAATATAAATCGCAATGAATTCGTAACAGGTGTCAACCCTGCGACGAGCGCAGCAAGACTCTCGCAACAGACAGTCCATGTTGGAGTCAAAGGTGCAAGAACTCGAATCTTTAACTAAGTCTCTTCCCAGAGGAGCTTCCAGTAAGTGTACCGTCTGTAACTATGTTATTATCATTTAAAACAGTAAAAAACAACGTGCCAGACAACTAACTATACCTATCATCTGTGCCTCTACCACGACATTTCTGTGACCGTTGTTGCTAGCGTCTGCGTATATTACTTCACTTTTTGTACGGTAAAGCGGTTCCAGGAAGAAACAACATTTTGTATACAAATATTTTACGCGGTTGCTAACGATAACTGTTTCTGTAATCGCATGGTAGAGGCACTGGTCTCAAATTAAAGTCCCTTTACTATGAGTATCAGAACAACAGAATTCACTCTGGGGCACTACCCAGAACACCCAGATCGGGACCAAGTTACAAAGGTTCGTTTCCCAGATTGGTTCTACCGGGAATCAAACTCGGGTCCTCCTCTGCCAGCGTTCATAGTTCAAACGTCGTCAAAAAGCTTTCATTGAAACAACGAAATATTAACTTCACTTTTATGAACTTTCGAGAATTAATAATTTCTTTATTTCTTTCACAGTGGGTGCAATATCCTCGCACGCAATGTGTAATGGCACAACCAACGGTCATAGTTCGCCATCACCACCTCTTCAAAACGGCAACCACACTCCCGCGCCGCCCCCTCCACCACCCGCCCCTGCTCCTCCCCCCGCGCCAGTCGCCCCCCCACCGCCACCACCTCCACCTGTGGTTCCCGCCGCTCCCCCACCGCCTCCCGCGCCGGGTCTAATGGCCCCACCGCAGCATACAGACGCCATGACAATCAAACGGAAAGTCGACACAAAATATAAGCTTCCTACTTTGAATTGGATCGCTCTTAAGCCAAACCAAGTAAGTATTTATTTGCATCTATTTTCCGTAATATTGCATAATTAAAGCTGAAATAAATAAAAGTAAGTGTTACTAAAGATTCGATAGTACATTGAACTTGACAAGTTAACAAAGAATACTGTGCTATCCTTATTAGTGCTATAATTTCAAACAAGAAATAGCGTTTATTCCTTTGTCAGTGTGTATATATCAGACATGAGGAAACCCCTTCCTCCTATGGAAGAATTCAAATTCAAGTCAAAAAGGCCGATTCCTCTCAATGGAACGATTAAGTAACCTAGGAGTTGTTCTTTGTAAATGACAAGTCGATGCTTTACTTTCACAAACTCGTATCTTATAAAGAGTGATTATTTAGGAGATGGCAAAACTTTCTATTTATTTGAAATTTCTTATCAAGGGTGTGGATTTGGATGCATTACTTTGAGAATAAGTAAAGGCCAGTCTGTGAATATGAAGGAAATGTTATGTGAAATCAGCCTGCAAGATTTGTATTATGCAATCCATTTTTTGCATTTCAGTAACTTTGTGCTTTAAGATACGAGTTTGTGAAAGTAAGGCGGCGAAATTGTTCATCCTTTAAAATATTTGCTTATTTAAAAATACCACAAGTAAATAAACTATACTAGCTAAATAGATCTTCCATGGATTTTTATCAATTAAGAAACTTTTATATAACATTTTTAATTGTCTATATCGTCACTGAAAGGGCGAAAGTAAGTTTTGGAGGTTAGTGATTTCACCTTTTCAGCGTCGTAATGTAAAATTTCAACAAGAATAGAATCATTTATTTCATATTATCAATTTCATAATAATACAATTCGAAATATAATGTCAAGGGATAACATGATCGTCATTAATGTAAACAATAATAATATAAAATAAATTAATTTAAAAAAAAAACGAACTACAAGAATCTCTCTATTGAAAAGTAATAGATGTAATTTCTTTGTGATCATATTAACGCGCTCTTTCAAGGTCCGAGGTACAATATTCAACGAATTAGATGAGGAGCGACCACGTAGGCGAATAAACTTTACTGAGTTCGAGGAGAAGTTCCGCATCGGTGGCGTCTGCACCAGCGGCAGCGTCGACTCTTGCGACACGGACACGTTAGCTTCGTTCCCCAGCAAGCGGTTCAGGAAACCCGACACCGTGTCCCTGCTGGAACACACTAGGTTGAGAAATATCGGTGAGTTGTATTAACTTGAACTTATGGCCAGTCATAAAGACAATTTTGCCATTACATGCGCCGACGATGTGTCTAAATAAATTAATATCTGTAAAAGTGTAGATGTTTTTACGAGTTTACAGTGTCGGAAGTTGCCAGTGACAAAAAGATTTTTTTTACCTTACTAGCTTGGAAAGTCTTTCTTTCTCATTAGGAATCTGCGCGTAAAAGTGTTTCTTCCCCGCGTGGAAAAGGTTTTTAAAGTTCGCACTTGACGATACGCCCGTAGCGGTCACAAGAAGAAACAATATTTTGTATACAAACATTTTATGCGGTTGCTAGCGATAACAGTCTCTGTAATGTTGTGGTAGAGGCAATGTTAGTGTTTATTGAAAACTTTACTTTTTGTTTTGTATCTAAAAGGTTTTTTTTTACTACAGCAATATCGAGAAGAAAACTAGACACCCCAGTCGAAAAAGTCATCGCTGCAGTCAACACTTTAGACCTCAAACAACTGCCACTCGAAAGCGTCGAGATCCTACAACGAATGGTCCCAACAGAGGCAGAACAAAAAGCTTACAAAGAATATGTAGCTGAGAAAAAACCTATAAACCAACTCACAGAAGAAGACAAATTCCTAATGCAATTAGCGAAAGTTGAACGAATTTCCGCAAAACTATCTATCATGAGTTACATGGGCAACTTCTTCGACAATATACATCTAATTACGCCACAAATACATGCAATAATCTCTGGGTCTTCTTCAGTAAAATCATCTCATAAACTAAGAAATGTACTTGAGATAATTCTGGCGTTTGGAAACTACTTGAACAGCAGCAAACGTGGTCCTGCGTATGGGTTCAAATTACAGTCTTTGGACACACTAATGGACACAAAGTCGACTGATAAAAGGGTGTCGTTGCTGCACTACATTGTAGGCACGATACGACAGAATTTCCCCGAATTGATGAACTTCGATACTGAGTTGCTGTATATTGATAAGGCTGCTCAAGGTAAGTTTTGCTTTTGTTGTTTATTTATTAGACCTTTAGCTTGGCTAGACAATAATACCGATTATAGCTAGTTTTACACATAAACTGATATTAGACAGTCACACCAATTATTACCTGGTCTCACCCTAGAGAATTGTACTATGTAGTATAGTAGATAATCAAACCAATTATTACCGTATCTCACACTTGGATATTGTACTATGAGTAGATAACCAAACCAATTATTAGCTGGTCTCACACTAGGGAATTTTACTATGAGTAGACAATCAAACTAATTATTACCTTATCTCACACTTGGATATTGTACTATGAGTAGATAACCAAATCAATTATTATTATGGTTTCACATTTGGGATTGTACTATGAGTACCAGAGTAACAGTGTCACTGCCCAGAAAACATAGTTCAGAACCGATGTAATATTTTATTTACTTTCGCGAAAGAATAAGTTTGGCTATTCAAAGGGGAAACGTTGCAAATCTCCCGGCTCAGCCCTTCATAAAAGTTTTCACCTTTAACTAAATGAAACTTTGTAACTCTGCTGTATTGTAATAAATCTTTTTTTTTTTATAAAAATGTAAGTGCAAATTTGACCTCCATTTCACCTGATGGAAAAGGTGTAAGTTTGAAAACTAACTCATTCGTGCTAATCATCCACAACATAGGGATGGAACACAAGCCTACCCTTAATCTCCTGGTGATGGAAAGGAGAAGGCGGAATTAAATCGTGTAATTCCATCGCATACTCTCCTTGATATACCCTGCAAAATAATTTCCTAAATCCATCCACATTGATCGCCCGTAGTGATAAATGCTGGGCCACTGAAATCGTGTCTTGTAAGCTTACGAGTCCCTATTGCCCCGTAGTATCGCTAGAGAACGTGGTTGCTGACGTGACGGAGCTGGAACGCGGCATGGAGGCGGTGAAGCGCGAGTGCGACGCGCGAGACGCCCACCGCGCCAACGGGCTCGTGTTGAGAGACTTCATCAGCAACGCAGCGGACAAGCTGCGCCGATTACGCGTCGAAACCAAACACGCGCAGGTACGTCAATAATAAAATGGCGAAATTTGGAAAGTAATATAGCTAACATAGCATAACATATTTGAATATAAACTGCCTCTGTGGCCGAACGGTTACCACGTCGGACTGCCACGCAGTGGTCCCAGGTTCGATTCCCGGGCCGGGAGAAATATTTGTACATTTATTTATCTCGTGAGTTTGGGTGTAATTTGTGGTTGTCTATGTGTGTGTCCATGGCACCCGCGACATAAGGTTTGCCTAGTGCGGGGCTATGTTGAGTGTGTGCGTAATATTATTATTTTTTCGAAACTCACAAAGTTATGTCATTTGACTGGGCCAAATATGAGTACACGTACGTACAGTGCTTCTGTTTTCGCAATGTTTCTCGGCAATCTTCGTGACTCTACTGTCGTCGAGTTTTGTTCAGGTGCCTTTTGCCTTTGGTATAAACCGGACACTTTCAGTCGACTTGGAAGTATATAGAGTTGCTATTACATTTTTATTTATTATCACAAAAAATCAACAACGTGTATTTGTTTTTTTTTACAACAAGCCTACACTTTTTTTTTAATATATAATAGACACACGCTTGGCCACAATCTCACCTGATGTTAAGCGACGATGTGACCGACGATGGGACGCGTTTGCCTAAATAATGCCTATTCACTCTAGCCTTGAATAGCCCCAAATTGCACTCTTCGGGAAATACAGATACAATATATTTATATAAGATATGTAGAGCATTCCATACCTTTGCCGTACGCATCAGAAAGGAGGAAGCAAAGCGCTTAGTGCGAATAGATGGAATATCAACGACATAAGAATGGATTTCTCCAGACCTTCTAGTCGACCGAAGGAGGAACGGTGAGGACGGAACCAAATGTATCCGATAGAAGACCGACAAGCAGATTATTTTTATGCGATGTTCGAGATTTTGAAGCTTCGACTCCACAAGAGAATTAGTGTTAATAAGTCTCTGCTTTTCGCTCCACCGAGTCCAAGACAGCTAACTGGTAATGGGGAGAGCCGTCCCAAAGGTGGCAGCAGTACTCCATACAGGATCGAACTTGTGCTTTATACAGATTTAAAAGCCGTTGTAAAGTATGCCTAGTTTTCTGGCAGCAGTTTTTGCCAAGCACTTGATGTATCGCCCAAAGTTGAGGTTGGATGATAAGTCCAGACCAAGTAGCTCAAGGTGGTCCCTTGTTGGCACGGATACATCTCGGAAAGTCGGAGTAAGGTGTAGGGGACTCCGTTTTGATGTGAAAAGACACGCCTGTGTTTTAGCCGCATTAAACTTGACCCTGTTAACACCTCCCCAGTCGGAAGCAGCTTTCAGACTCAGGTTCAACCATGTGACCATCGCCTCTCGCTTACACCGGATCTCGTCGCTGTCGTCTCGGGCGTCAGGCACATAACTCTCTACCACTGTGCTGTCGTCTGCGTACCCAAAGATACCGGGCATCAGCAGCAGGACGTTGATATGCAGCAAGAATAGACAGCAGCAGACGAGTAACCATATACAACTACACGGATTGACCTATCCTTCAGAAAATCGCCTATCCATGTGCAAAAGCCAACAGGAATTCCGTAAGCTGGAAGCTTGTTTAACAGGCTATCATGCCAAACCCTATCAAAGACCTTTGATATCTCGAGAGACACGGCAAGCTATTCACCGAGTTTCTCGACAGCCTCGCTCCATAAATGTGTGGCATACGCAAGAAGATCCCCAGTAGATCGACCACGGCGAAAACCATAATGTCGATCGCTGAGGATATCATTCTCTTCGAGGTATCCAAGGAGACGGCTGTTCAATATGCGCTCCATAATCTTACAGAGTATGGAGTTGATTGGGATAGGTCGAGAATTAGACTTATGACTTGAGCATTGAGTAGAGTTCTAGAATACGACCCTTAGGTACAGGCTGTACATTTGCAAGCTTCCAGGTTTTCGGGACTTGTCCAGAACTTATAGAGAGGCGATACAGGCGAGTCTACACCGGAGACAACTCGGGTGCACAGTTCCGCAGGACAATCGCTGGGATTCCGTCAGGGCCACTGGCTTTGTTGATGTCTAATTTGCGTAAAGTTTTCAACACCTCTTTTTGACGGATAGTGATCTCGAGCATTTCCGAGTCATAGCGAGGTAGTATAGGTGGTGTGTGCAAAGTAAAAAAAAAGAATTGCACGTTCAAGAAAGATAACAATGGTTATTTTAAAAAAGTCCAAAATTATGTTTCTGTAGCTTGTGACGTTTTAATCGGAACAGTAAAGAATATTATAAATAATCTCAGTACAGAGTACTAAAAAAACCGACCTCAAAAGTACGTGGAATTACGTCTATTTGCTAAGTTTTATTGAAATATCCCCTAGTTCGCCACTATACAGGACTTAATACATTGACACTGGAGATAATAAAAATCGGTTCTCACTGCTCAAAGTATATTGAGAGAAAAACGCCTTGAATTGGAGAAATAGCAAAATCAACCATTAAAATAATTGATCCTAAATTAAAGTTAGGCGCTATTTATAAAAATGAATCTTCATGCTTGAACAGCCACCCTTAGAGGCGGATGATTTTCTTCAAAATGAAATGAGACCACTACATGGAAGTACCCCCTTTCCAACAAAAAAGAATCATGAAAATGAGTTCACAAATACCGGAGTTATCGCGTAACATACATACAAAAAAAAAGAACACAGTCCAATTGAGAACCTTTTTTGAAGTCGGTTAAAATATAAATTAGTTCCTTTTCCTTTCCTTTACTTTATATTTTTTGTTTTTGTTAACTAGCTTATTGATACGGAGTAAATGTTATTAAAAATAGGGTAATAGTTTTACTCTATATGGTTCACACGGAAATCAAAGCAAAACAACAATAAATTACGTTGTTCAAAGTTCAAATTATTATAGATTTGAAACCTAATAATTAATGGACATGAAAATTAATATTCGTGTACATTCGGAAACCCGATGATTGCCGAAGGACATTCAGAAAATAGAAGCACTGTTCAACTATTTTCTTAATATCTCTCGGCTATCTTCGGATTTCTGAATGCACTCTATAGACCAACCTCGAGTATGTAGTGTGTAATAAAAATGACGCCGATACCGTCTCGTCTCTGTGTCCACAATCCAGCCGATGTGCACTTTGTACCGGACTTAAGAATTGTTTACTAATATGGGCCTTAGAGCTAGGTATTACAATCCCAAATCACAGATCCGGCGTCGACAAGCGCCCAATGGCGACTGACGGGGCGGCGGGTGGCGTGTTATATCGTTAATCCGCTGAGCTATTTGCAAATTTTAGGACAAATTTAAATAACGATTAGGGCTTCAGTTGAAAACCAAAATTAAATCTAACTAAAAACGTCTTAAAAAAGAAAGCTTTTTTTAAAAAGTTGCAATGTTTAACAAAAGATAAAGCAGTTTTTCCCGTCTCTACTTTCAATAATAGGTATGCTTCTCCAAAACTTGCTGGTATTTGGTCTAACGTCTGGATGATGGAATGTGTTTGCAGGACTCGTTCGCGGCGTGTGTGGAGTACTTTGGCGAGGCGCCACGCAGTTGCGACGCCAACGCTTTCTTCTCGCTGCTCGTGCGTTTCACGAGGGCATTTAAGGTAGTTTAAATAAATTATTACAATTGGATGCTACGTACACTCTACTCAGTATTAAACGCCCTAAGCTTAAAAAAGTTTTGGGTACTTTAAAATACTTTTAGTAGTCATTTTCATAATGTCTGATAAAGTCCTTATTGAAAATTTGAATTTGTAAAACCGGGGGTTTTTTTTCTTCGATGATAACAATATTTTTGTATTACCCTTTAAAAATGCTAAGTAATAATAATAATCATCATTTATTTTCTCCCATTCACATACAATTTTAAAAGTACATTCAAGTGAAAACTTAACGGGAGACTTGGGCACAAACTAGGTAGACCCTGTGTCTTGGGACACCAGGTCTACGACCCAGAACAATACTTATCAATTTGAGATGAATTACAAAGTTACTGCAAAAGAATTAAAAATAATACTATGAAATAAAATTGACCTTAAGTGGCTCATTTACGAACATTAATAAAGCTTGGAATCTCCCACTGATGAGTATAGCCTTCGTACACGCTATTATCAAAAAATGTATGATTCATAAGTTCAAACAGTGTGTGTATGTTTAAAGCAAGCGGACGCGGAGAACGAACAACGCCGACGCCTGGAACAGGCGGCGCAGCAAGCTGACACTGTCGACCCGAACAAAGCTAAGCTGATGCAGAAAAAACAACAGGTACGTTGGCGCGCCACTTAAGTAGTGGAGTGTATATTCGTGGTCAGGAAAAAATGTCATACGGTGGTTGATTTGAGAGTTTAGTGCATACATGTTAAGAAAGGTTCATTCTACTTGAGTTTTTCTCGTAATAATTTTTGCCAATAAACTACCTGGCAAAGATTTTTATTAACATTTTATTTACTTTTGTATATCAGTTTTGTTGTTTGTGATTTGTTTTTGTTCCGCCAAATAACAATGATAGCACCATCAACCATTTTATTTCTTTAGTAATAAAAATTATTTCAATTGTTCGTGTCAGTTACTTATACGAGTGAAGAGGGTGATATTGAACGGAATTGTGAGCTCGCAATCGGATAAATGGTACTTTGTACGCTTTTTTGGATGAGAAAGGTACGATTGACACATCTGGGCATTTTGATCCCAACACTGATGTATAATAGTGTATGACAAATAACGTAGAAGACGTTTGAAATTAAGCTAATTGATGTATGAGTGTTGCGTAGTACGTGTGGTGTAACTCTGTAGGCATTGACAGGTTGACAAATTGTAGTGTAAATATGACGACCGTACTTCGCTGCCAAAATCGACCTCGTTGACTAGGTGTAAAAACTGTCGGGCAATTCGGTCGCCTTCAGGAAGCGACGATCGAACAAACAAGTTCCAACGGCGTGCTGGGGGCCGGAGAATACCTATTTGCACGATCAGTTTGTTTTACGATTTGCTATATCTGTGCATAAACTTGTAGTTATAATGACTTGGTGATTTCGGCGAACGCGGTAGTCGACTTGGTGTAAACAGCGCGTCGACTGCACCGCCTTCGTCACCCGAATTCGCATGCCGAATACGCAGCTGTCGACTCGGTGTAAACATCTTTCAGCAAGATAAAGTAGTCTGTCGATGAATGAGGAGCAGTGTAATGAGAAAGGCTTGTAAGGTAATGTAGTGACTAGAACTAGGGAAAGCTTCGTTGATTTGGTCACATGGAAAGGATATACACAAATTTATAGAGCAAATGTGGATGGAAACGTAGGGAAAGGCCTACTTCGGTGTATCAGGGGTCTACTCTCTCTACAGGGGTCAAATAAGTAATACTAGACTGAATTAAAACACAATGTCATGTATGAAGCTTCATTCGTATCATGCGTCTTTTAGGGTATTACTTATTTGACTGTAATTGTTTCGTACGGATGTTGGACGGAGAACGAGAGTACAGAGCCTGATTAGGGATGTCAAAAGTAACAAGGTTAAACGGATGTGCATGAAGATGCGAGTGGAGAAAGCGAAAGGGGTTCGTCAGGAGCATCTATAGTCTACTTAGCTCAGTGAAAGACACGTCATAATATGTATGTATGCATTATTTATATCGCACTCGCAGTAATAAAATGACGTGAGTCGAAAATCAATAATTTGGGAAACTAACAGAGTTCTTAGGTTTTCGCGATTGTTACACATAGGAAATGAAACTATTTTTGCGGATTTAAATCGCGTATATTTGTTTTTGTGAAACAAACCGACGTTTCGGGCCCTTTACAGGTACCATGGTCACGGTTGACTGACTGTCAGTCAACCGTGACCAAGTCAGTCAACCGTAACCATGGGACCTGTAAAGGGCCCGAAACGTCGGTTTGTTTGACAAAAACTAATATACGCGATTTAAATCCGGAAAAATAGTTTAATTTCCTAACAGAACATTATTTAAAAAAACACATGTATGTGTGATACTTCCCAAAAAATTTGTTTTTCGAATTGCGTCAGTTATTATTAAAGGTGCGATATGTGGATTGAATTTCATTTGTACAATACCTCATGTTGCATAATTACTTTCGATGTGGCGCTTGGCTCTGCATATAACGCTTTAAATGGATGGAGTCATGCAATGTCCGTGCAACTTGTAGTTTTTTTTGTTGCATCATTAAACAATAATTTTTAATTTACTATATTAATTTTCGTCTGTAGATATTTTTAAAATCTAAAAATACGAATTATTTCAATCTTATGTTATGTTTGATTGAGTTTTTCTTGAAGGTGTGTTTTTTTTCTTCTTTAATTCAGCCTATGATTAATTATTTTGAAACAATACAGTATATTTTATAAATTAAATAAACTTGTGCAGTTTTCAAATAAGCACAAAAGTGACTTTGAAATTTCTGTTTCAAAATGGTTTTTTTTAAATATTTTTGAGTTTATGGTATATATCTTTTTCATATTTTTATTTAACATTGGTGCAGGGTAAAATTTTTAAACGATAAATATGGATAAAGAAAGTTTGTTAGAACTCAAAATGAAAAAAAAAAAAATATTCACTATATTGGTTCTAGAAACACGTGTCTCTCAACAAAAATTGCTACAACGAACTGTTTCAAATTGACAATCTTCCGAGCGCGTTACATACAAATAGTTATGCGCTAGTTGAATAATGAACTAATCGAAATCAATTGAATTTCATAAATATTACATAAAAATAATAGCTAGATCACATTTCTGAATATTTTATATTAAGTTTTTCCACCATTTGAAAATTTTCGGACAATTACCCAACACTACATTCACACCTATTACCGAGTTTCTAATTTGGGAATACCCCGTACTATGAGTACCAGAGTGATACAATACGAAGGTCCTGCCTATATGAGAAACAATTTTTTTTTACAATTAAATTAATTTTCAAAAATTATATTACAAATCCATATTTATCGTATAAAATAAACCAGTAGCGGTGATGGTCTCCACAGAGGTTTAACTACGCGGCCGTCAGCGCCGGCCTGTTGCAGCAACACTTGTCACAGTTGAGACACAACATAGACCCGCTCTAGACTCAGACGCGGTCTAGACCCACATGCGGTCTAGACCAGACCTGGCTAGACCCGATAGGAGTAAGTCGGGGCCTATTCACGTGTGTGTACTAACTTGTGTGTGGGAAATATTGGTGTATAGTATGGTGTATTTTATGCTCTCTTCGTGATGGAAAATTTAAAGCGAAGCTATACATGGATAGTAAACAAAAGAATATCATGTGATGTCATTGCATTGTTTTTTTATTAAATGATAACCTCTCTTTACAGGATGTATAAAAAAAATTTGACTATGTGCTATTTACGATAATAAACAAATAATTTACTTGGCAAAAAATTTTTTAGGAAGGACCAAAGTTGAAAGTATTCTTCTGTTATCTTTAATATATAATCTATACGATCGGTTCTTCTTATTGCACCATGTATATATGATAAGCGATTCAAATACAGAACTAATATCGCTTATTTACATTTAGATTAGATTTTGTCATCAGTTTAGAAATTTCTTTTAGTTTTTTTTTTCTCCCTTTTGTTTGCTAGCGTTCTACTATGACGTTGCTACAAAGTAATCTAGCACCGGCACCAGTAAAAAAAAACAAAACCTAATAAAAATGGAATTAAATTAATTTGCTACTCCCCGAACCCAGTGAAGGTTACATCGTGCAAAATAGCTGCGCTTGTGTTGAATATTTTTTTCATGCAGTTAATTTCGATATTCAACAATGGTAACACTGGGGGTAGCGGGGTATAAATATACCAACCGTTCTGAGCTCATTTTTCGGCCGAAGGTCGAGCAGCAGCGGAGCTTTTGTCGCGGAGCAGCAAATTAATTTACTTCCATTTTTATTAACATGGACTTCCGCAAAGTAACGCCTGAATCTATTAATTACTTAAAACCTATTACTGATGATTCCCTCTCAACTACGGTGCTGGTAAAGCCGTCTTTACATCAGCGCTACAATCACAATCAATTTTGCAAGACGCATTGCTGTTGTTCTCTCCTTACAATTCTGAATAGCCGTTACTTAGATTACATCCATTGAGCATAAATATCACCAAAATATATATCAATTAAACATAAAATTGTGATGTTCAGTGACTAACGATCATTGTCATCAAGCATGGTTTGGGATAAAAAAATTGGCTTTTAAATTCATAAAATTCATGAGGTAACCTTCACTTCCCAAGCATGCAATGCACAAATCACGTGCGGGTTTTTTTTATATAATAGTAGGAGGTCAAAAGTGTTTGACAAGTTAACTCAGAACACAAAAAAAAATGTTTGACAACCAGAGATTGGAACTGCAAGTAATACAGACATAGTGAATAATAATAATACATTTATTTCAGAAGTGCATCCATATTTGTTAGTAACAATAATCTTATCAACTATGTTAGTAACATCACATAATTATATAAAAATAAAAATATTACAATTTCTCATACCAAATGACAGCTCGACTGGATGTCGAGCTGTCATTTGTATCAGCCACCGCGGTCAGAATGCCATGTAAGGTCACGCTTACGCATGACGCTCCGAACATCCTCGATGCACTATAGTACCGCGGCAGCCCCATCAGCCTCCTGAACAATAATACAATACAATAATACCTCCTTTTAGAATTCTGGAATCATTAAAAAATGAAGGGCAAAAATCAAAACAAAATAATTATATTTTTAATTACAGTTACTAAATTTTACTTCGAAATACAATACCGTGGTAAAGTAATATCGGTATACACTTTTAAACCTTCGCATTGCATTATACCATTTCATTACGTCAAACCTGACGTTTCGGCCAGCTTGCACCGGTCACGGGCTATAATAGGCAAGTGTGCAAATATCTATTAAATATTTTCGTGCTTATTCCCTAATTACGTCAGCTGCGGCCGGAGGTTAAACAAAAAAATGAATTGATTTTTAAGTAATTTCATTAAAAATAATTTAATTAAAAGATATGAACATATTGAGTAACTACGCTAGTATCCTAGACGGTAGTGGATTATGGAATGCTCTTTTGATGAGTTGGGTTTAGCAATTAGGCTGGTACGAGTTACACATTCTGCAGCGTCGGCGCCTCGTGTGTATTGCGGATGTTTTCTACTGAAGTTGGGAGTTAAAACGAAAAGCACATTCATAAGCACGCTTATCATTTTAAACGTAAACGTTACTCAATTCATTATTCAACAATTTCATTTTGTACAA